TCACAACATGTCTCTTTCCTTAGTTTCCACCATTTGATCTTCTGCTCTGTCTTCACTCTCTTCCTTTTTGTCACCTCCATCGTCACACTACCATCTGTTGTTGTTTGGCTACACTTTCGCCTGCCACCACCTTACAGGCTCTAATCTCCCTCAGATTACCTCTTCTACGTAGAATATAATCCATCTGTGTGGACCTGCTCCACTCTTGTACGTCACCCTGTGTTCTTCTTTCTTTTGGGTAGGTGTTTACCACAGCCATTTCCATTCTCTTTGCAAAATCTACCACTGCCTGTCCTTCCAAGTTTCTCTCCCTAACACCAAACCTACCTATCATTTCCTCATCTCCTCTGTTCCCTTCCCCTACATGACCATTTAGGTCTGCTCCAATCACCACTCTCTCCCCTGGGGTTACTCTCTATCATCCAATGCAGCTCCTTCCAGAACTTCTCCTTTTCTTCCAACTCACAGCCCACCTGTGGGGCATAACCGCTAACAACATTTATCATCACTCCTTCTATTTCTACCTTCATACACATCAACCTGTCTGACTCTCGTTTCAGCTCTACCACATTTCTTCCATATTCTTCCTTTAGGATCACCCCTACTCCATTTCTCTTCCCATCTGAACCATGATAAAGCAGTTTGTAGCCTCCTCCAAGGTTTCTAGCCTTGCTGCCCTTCCTTTTTTTTTTTTTTAATGTTCTATTCTGACATTTTGACCAATGTCAGACTACCTAGATACCGCTTCTGAGTATTGGATCTAGCCATCCCTACTAGCATTAGTTTAAATAACTATAATTATAGTGGATAGAGTGATACAACACTGGTTCTCTCAGATTATTATAAAAATGCTTTTTATATGTCCAACCTGTTATGACATTTCTACAGATTTTACCTGATAAATGCTGTTCTGGAGTTTTAAGGCAGGGATCCCCAACCCAGTAACGGTCTGTAGATATATTGGTAGCGGGACACATTTTTTTATTGTTATTATTATTATTACTTATTTATTCAATTCAAAGAGAATCAACTTACTTTTTCCTTTTTTTCATTTAAAGATATCCTGGTAGCATAAATAATGTCATTGAGACTGCAATACCAACAGAAGCCTTAAAAAATATATATTATTTTGAAAATTTAATCATAACACACATTCACAGTTCTTCTTTCGCTCCCTCAGCATGGGCTGGACTGAGCCCTGCTTTTGTTTGTGTTGATCCAGTACAATATGGCTCACCTACAGAATGAGCCCCTGATTAAACACAGCTCAACTGTTCCCATTTGTTTCTGCTGTGGCAGCACCGTTGAGACACACTTATTGTCAGACAGACTGCTCGTAAACGCAACAGCACAGGTCACCTTGTTCAGTGTGTTTGTTTTGTTGTATTATTAAATTGAATTTAATATATACAGTATATATATATATATATATATATATATATTTATATATATATATATATATATACATACATATAT